TCAAACTATTAAACTTATTTTTGTCACAACATTTTCTTTTGTCAAATTTCCCATAACAACATCATTTAAAAGTTTCACAAATTTGTTAGGGCTACACTTTATTTTTAATTATACCCCATACTACAATTCATTATGTATATGTACAAAATTATTAATGAAATATAAATATAAATAATCTACATGATAATAAATTTACTTAATATTAAAAAATTTTACCTTAAGGCCATTCTTTTTACTTCTAAAATGCTTACTTGAATAACTCTCTCACATTATTTCTATGCAAAAAAGCAAGTAAATATTTCCACAAAACAATATAAGCAAAGTTTGATAAGTTTTATCATAAACAAAACAATAAAGTTAATGTCAAAATTCCAATTAATAAAAGCAAAACACTTGATCAATTATGATATAGACATTATGATGAGATGTATATACTTATATCAAGATGTACATATCATATAGCTACTATGTACATATCCTAAAAGCGTAGTGTACATATCAAATGAGCACTATATACATAATGTATAAACACTATGTACACATCTTATATAAGTTCATACAACCCTATAAAGTACCAATACTTGTCTATTTTATATTAGATAAGATTTTATTCATCAACCACAAACTTAAATAGTTATAATTTACATTTAAATTTTTTACCCTAAACACAAGTTTTACCTCTAAAACCCTCAATTAAACTTTATACAATTATAAATATAGAACTAGATCAATTAAAATTTTGACATTATAATGAGATGTAGATATACTTATATCTAGATATATATATATTCTATAACTACTATGTATATATCCCAAAAGGACAGTATACATATCAAAGATCACTATGTACATATTATATAAGCATTATGTACACATCCATATAAATTCTTACAATCCTATAAATTATCAATACCTACCTACCTTATATCACATAAGATTTTACTCATCAAGTACAAACTTAAAAAGTTACAATTTAAATTTACATTTTGTTACCTAAAACACAATTTGCACCTCTAAAAGTCAATTTTCTAACTTTATACAATTATAAATATAGAAATAAATCAATTTAGATTTTGATATTATGATAAGATGCACATGTACATATTCTATAAATATAATGTATGCATTCCTAATGTACTATGTACATATCTTATAAGCACTATGTATATATTCTATATCTGTTCCTACATCATAAAAAAAATCATTACATATCCCAAAATTTTATTTTCTTAACAACATCAAAATTATAGAAATAAGAATAATAACAATAAATTAAATAGAAACCCAAATAACAACATATTAAACCTAACAAACCTTAAAATTGCAACAAATTAAAACAAAACCCTAAATAACAAAAGATTCAAACAAAAACCTAAACAATACAAAACTTAAATTAGAGTGATAAAAAAAATCAAGAAATATAAACTTACTTTAAAAAGCTTAATCAATTTGGTAGAATAGCACTGACAACTCCAAATGGGAAGGGAGAGGAGGAGGGGATTTCATGATTTAAATTTTGATGAGGAGTTGAAAGAAAAGGAAAAAAAATGGTGACAATTTAAGGCAAATATTTTCAACAGAAAGGGAAAAAAATAAAAGGAATTAGCTCAACAAAAAGAGAAGAATAAAAAAAGGGAAATAGCTCAACATAAAGGGAAGAAAAAAAAAAGGAGGGAAGATAGAAGAAAAACAAGAAGGCTCTAGACAGATATGGTAGAAACAAAAATGAAGATGCTTTTAGTCTCTCTTTGTTTAATGACAATTAAAATTAAAATTTTAATTAGTTTGATATTAATTTAAAAAGTTTTCAAAAGTTGTTATTTCCTTTTCAATAAATATTTTTTATTAGACTTTTTTGTAAATATTTTTATTATAACCTTTTTTATTTAATTTTCCCCTAAAAAAAAATGGTGAGTTGGGATTGGGAAGTTGTGAGGAGACTTTAGTTGGGTATTGGTGTGTTGTTTTTATCAACTTATAAAATAATTTATGTTTTTTTAAAATATTTATTGAAATTCAAATTTTAGCTCAGTTGACATTTTAGTAAATTTGGGTTCAAATCTCTTAACCTACCATATTTCTTTTTTTTTTTTTTTCAAGATGTTTTCATGGTAAACAAAATATGTATATTTAAAGGTCATGTTTGATCTATAAGATTATTGATAGAATAAGATAATAATCATTTTATACTATATTTGGTTTGTATCTAAAAAAATATATATAAGATTGTAAAGATAATTAATTATCCTCTTGGCATAGGATGATTCAATCCTTCTAAAATAGTGAGGATTATTTTTAATTTATGAGATTGAATTTATATGTCTTATTATATCCTAAAAAATTACGTCAATAATTAAATTGCATAAACTTTGAAAAACAATAATTTTGATCAATAAATAAATTATTCTATCATAATTCTTATATACATCAAACATAAAATAGTATAATATCATTTAATCCAATACTAATCATAATATTATATTATTCTATCTTTTCATAATCTTATACACAAAATATACCCTAAATATATTATCTACTTGTATGTTATTATTACTTGTTAATGAAATGATGCTTTTTTTATCCAAGGGATAGGGATAAGATGATGCACAAGATGGAATCGAACTCTAATCTTACTTTTTTTTTTTTTAAACTTTCTTGGTTAGTAAATCAGTAAACAAATTGATGCTTTCATTAATAGCTAAAGGTTATCAAGAATACAAATCCAGCCTGGTAACAACCTTTACCTTCCCAGACCCGACATGCATAAACTTCAAAATGAATCCTTCCTAACATATGAGCTAATTTATTAGCTTCTCTCCTAGTTAGCATGATGAAAATGACAGAATCACACAAGGAAGCCACATCCAAAATATCCAAAGGTCAGACCTCCACTGTCCCAAAATGTAATATCTGCCTTCTTAATTTCTGAGACAGCCAACGAGGAGTCGCTTTCCACAATCACTGCGTCAAAACCAAGATCATTTGCCATTTCATGACCAAACCTCATGGCTTTCACCTCAGCACAGAGAGGATCTGTTTGTGTTTTAAATTCTAGTCTCACCACGTAACAAAACAGTCCTTTAGTGTTCGCCTGCCTATCCCTCACATTACGCTGACTTCACTTTGAATTGTCCTCCTAGGAGAGTTGGGCTCCTAGTCAATTTAGATTGCAATAAAAGTACTTAATATCGAAAGATGTCTATTTTATTTTTCAAAAATGTGATTCGAATTTAAATCATCATCTTCTAATTTAGTTGGATAACTGTAAATTCTTGTTGGATACAAAGAATAAAAAAATTCATTAATTTTCTTTTCATAGAAAATTATCATAACAGTAACAATGGGGAACTAATGAAATTTAAAGCCACACATCACAATTTGTCTAAGACTTTTAAGTTTTGATTTCATTAGAAAAGAAACTTAATATACTTTAAGAATACGTATCCTTTCATTAATCTGTTTGTATAGAGTTTAAAAATTCTATTTATAGTGGATGAAATAATTTTTTCAAATAAAATATGGAAAGTTTTGAAACAATTAGAAGGATTGGCAATTTCCTATTTATCAAAGAAGTACAATAATCTTTGGAAATGGATTAATTGTGCACTAATTCAACAAAGGTTAATTGTGCACTAATTTAACAAAGGTTAAGGTTATTAATAATTCTTGAACTATAATAAAATATTTAAAATGGTATTTTAACTCTAAATATCTCTAATGTATTACTTGAATTACGAATATATTAATTAATATAATATTTAGAGAATTTTTTGTATGTATTTTATTATTATTTAGAGTTATCACATCACAGATGAAAATTATATTAATTTTATAAATTCATAATTTAAATATCATATTTAAAAATTTTTAAATTAAGATATTACATTAATATTTCACTATGACTTAATGCACTGTAACATTAACATTTTAACAAACAAAGAAGAGTAAAAGAAAAGAAGACAAAATCATAAGTTTATAGTTCAAGAAAGGATAATAAGTCCTTACCTCCGCACGATAATTAACTGGTGAAAGTCATCTCATTTTACTGCATCGGATGATTCGAGCTACAATTTGATCAACAGCTGCCCAGTAACTCTTCCTCCATTTCTCATTCAACAAATAAAGAAGCCCAAAAAGTCCCCAAAATCCAACTACATAGCCTGCAATCACCATCGCATACAACAATTTCTTCTGTCCTGTATCATCTCCCACATCATATGATTCCGGAGTTACGGAAACCTTGCTGTCACAATCAACACCATCAGAAGCTCCACATAAGAATTTGTTCCCAATGTATGCTAATCCATCTCTGCTCAATGTGTCAAAATGTGGCCCTGTTGGAATTTTCCCACTTAGATTGTTGTATGACAGGCTTAAAGTGGAGAGCGAATCCGACAAAGTCAATGCTATCGGGATCTCTCCGCTTAGATTATTGTAACTGAGGTCAAGTGACTCCAAGAGGCTCATGTTTCCAATGCTGGATGTGATGTTAGCAGACAGGGTGTTATGGGAGAGATTAAGGGCATAAAGCCCTTGTAAAAGGCCTAATTCAGATGGAAGGCTTCCGGTTAGATTGTTACATGAAAGATCCATCCCATTATTGTATGTTCGGACCACTTTAGTCTGCTGTAACAATCCCTTGGCAACCAGTTTCACTTCAACACCAGCATACAGTTCTGAGATGATAAACCCGAGAAGATATGCATCTGTTGGTCGGTTTATGATTGTCTTTAAACCACATAACTTGTCCGGGATAGGACCAGACAGTTGATTATTGGAAAAGCCAATAAATTGTAGATTTTCTAATGCATTTATCTCTTGCGGTAATGAACCATTGAATTCCAAGACAAGAATTCGGAGGTCTTTAAGGTCTCCAATGAATTGGGGGATCTTTCCTCTTAATTTGTTATTTCCCATATTGAGAACCATTATTCTTTGAAGTTCATAAATAACAGAAGGGAAAGGACCATCAAAATGATTGCTCCTTATATCTAAGAAACTCAACTTTTTCGCACCTTGCAGTTTCCTTGGAATACCCCGCTAAGGTTGTTCCCTCCAAGGTTCAGATATATTAGAGATGTGCAATTTCCTAAGCTGGTTGGAATTGTTCCTGCAAAGTTGTTGTTGGAAAGATCAAGCAGCATAAGCTCACTATTTGCTTGACAGACGGAGGATGGGATATTACCATAAAGTTTATTGCTGGAGATGCCAAGTATCTAATGTTTCCAAGTCCAACCTGTGTATGAATGTAGCCTGTGAAATTATTTACGGATAAATCCAAGGCTTCGATGTTCTCAATCCGCCGAGGGATGGACCCATGGAGTTGATTGTTTCTTAAAATAAGTGTTGTCTGTATGAAAAATAACTTTAGCTTAATGTTAGGTGGGATAACGCCTTGTAGACTGTTAAAGGAGATATCTAAGTAACCTAAATTGGGAAGATTGAACAGCCAAGAGGGAATTGTTCCTGATAAGCTGTTATTTGACAAACTTAAGAATGTTAGTTTGGTCAGATTTGATATGAAATCTGGGATTTTGCCTCCTAAATTACAAGAATCTAGGCACAAGATTTCTGGTTGGAACGTTGGTGGAAATGATAGTTGGTCTACTTACACGGTTAGCCCACTAAATCCAAGACCTACCATATATGGGGTCGAGTTTTGGAACGACAAGGACAGGGAGGGGATTGTTCCATTCATCATGTTGAAGCTAACTTCGAGGTAGCTGAGATCATGGAGCTGGCCAATGCAATCTGGTAAATTTCCAATAAAAGAGTTTTCTGCTAAAGCTAGAGTGTGGAGAGAGGAGATGCTGCAAATCGTGTCAGGTATGGATCCTTTAAAAGAGTTCTGAATCAAAGACAGATAATGCAGGCTTTTTAAATTGGATATTGAAGGTGAAATCTCACCAGTAAAACTGTTCATGTCTAGAAACAATTGTTCTAAGCTTGAAAGGTTCATCATGGAGGCAGGTATCTGGCCCTGAATCAAAGAATTGTACGCTATGAAATCATCTAACGAGGTGATGTTGGCTATAGAGGGTGGGATAGATCCAATAACTTGGGTAGAAGACATGTCAATAGATTCTAATTGAGGCCAGGGGACTGCGAGCATGGAATGGAGATCAACCATACGATCAGAGTTGCTTCCCACATAAAGGTCCTTTAGTTGAGGAAGGTAAGGGATATGGCCTTGTAGATTCGATCTGGTGAGGTCAAGGACTGAGAGAGAGGTGAGATTGGCCAACTTACTTGGGATTTTGGATGCTATAAAGTTGAAGTCCATGAACAAATGAGAGAGACGGGAGAGGTTAAAAAGCTGCTCAACTGGAACCTCACCAGAAATCCCGCAATTTGACAGGTCAAGCAACCTCAGCATGAAAAGATTAGATATAGATTTAGCCCATAGGGTTGACCGAGATGCTTCTGATAGATCAACACCACTGAGTTTCAGTTTTCTGAGATTATTCAGCCCTTTTAACCAATTCAAATTTGATGCAGAGAGAATGCCTAGGTTTATGTATGTGTAAAGAGAACCTTAATGAATTGTCATTTTAAAGACAAACTAGAGGAAACGGATGAGAAGTCCACAACGCTAAAGGAACATGAAAGGTCTAGCTCTGTGAGGGAGGTAAGGTTAGCAAATTGTGTTGTAATAGAATCATTGAACATAGAGATTGAAGTAAGTGAGTCCAGTAAGATTTGATAATCCTTTTGGAATCCTTGAGAGCATGAAGTTGTTGAAACTGAGGTCAAGGTACCTGATAAGAGTAAGGGAGAAAAGAGAAGAAGGGATGGTGCCGGTAAGATCAGTAGAAGGGAAGTCAGATGTGGAAACAGGTTGGGAATTCAAGTCCAAGATAAGGCTGTCTGGATTGGGATTTCGGAGGTCAATGGCTGTGACATGAAGCGAGTCTGAACGACGGATTCCATACCAGCTGCAGCAGTTCTGGCCTTTCCACGAAGATAAACGATTTGAAGGGTCTGTAATATGAGATTTGAAGCTTATCAATGCTTCTTTTTCTTCTTCATGACAAGCATTGGCTGCAAAAAGTTTGGAGAAAAAAAAGAGTAGGAAGAGAAAAAGGGTCATGATGAATTTTATGAATCTCATATGGCTAAGTTGTAAGTTACACAAAGTAACTTCTTGTAAGATATGGAAGAGAGGAAAGAAGGGCTATGTTGATTTTGATCTGTTTGAGGTCCATACAATACTTATAGGGACAGCAATTGAACTGACAGATGAAAACCCTGTTGAATTGTTACTTTAGAATTTTGATTGAAGGGGCAACTGATGCAACATTGGACAAGGCCTTTTCAGGGAGAGGTACTTCTTAGTTTCAAGTTAATCAAATCCTATATCTAAAGACTGGAATAAGGGCCGTACAATTTCATTGGAAGTTTAAAGCTGTGAGACAGTGATAGTTTTTCTGCTAAAGCCCTAATAAATTGGAATGAGATTGAAATTGGCTCATCGTGGTCCCTTGATGAGCTAAGAATATAAGCAGCATTCTTTGTGTTTCACATGTTTTCGAATAACTTAATGCTTAATCCATATCTAATTGTTTTCTAAACAATTTTTATTTAATTGAACGTCTATAGTTGAATGATAAAAATAAAGATATATGAAGTATCATTTTCCATTATGTTCCAGTTGAGATTTCAGATTGAATAATTTGAAGTAGTACACTGATTCATATCTTGAATGTGGAAACTACTGTGCCAGTTGTTACGGATTACTTCAGCAATGACTTAACAAAATAGTTTAGAGGCAAAGTCAAATCCTGTAAGACAATATTTAAATTGGTGCTTGAGGCATCAGTGTGAATTTCTATTACCTGTTTCTTGTTCAACTTAAACTAGTAATCCTTTTTATAATGCAGATGTATTTTCAGACAATTCTTGCTATTCTAATCGTCAATGGCACTTTCCATGCCCCATCAAAAGACGATAGACAGAGTCAGATTGCTATACATGTTGATAGATGCCATTAACATATTATGTTCTTTTCTTAGTTTGCATTCTTGCATTTGCAGTTTTCTCATTCCTGGCCGTTCAAAGGAAGGAACCATGAAGTTTCAATTAGTTTTTGAATTGATTTCTGACATTGTGAAAATCCAATATAGCCAACAATAACTACTTACCACAGAACAGAACACAATGAATCACACAGAATGTACGGAAAATAGCTGACAAGTTTTCTATTTGTTTGAGTGAAAGAAAGGAGAATTTAGTTTCTGATAAGAGACAATGGAATTTAATCTGTATTTGTTCTACAGAGTTTTGTTATACAGAAAATTGGAAAAAGGCATGGTACAATAAAAGCAAAAAATGATTAATTTGTTCTCCAATTCGTTCCTGTATCAAATAATATTTGACTAAAATAAATAGTAATTCTCGAAATCTTTATTAGCCTCATGCCTGCATAAAACCCAAATTTGTTCTCCCATAGCATTTTCCTTGGCTATGTATCATAATGTATAAATCTATAAACTTACTGTTAAACATGGTTTAGAATAATCATCATCAATATTTTTTGTTAAGATGTGATTAATCACCTAATCAAATCTGATCCACAAAATTAGAGTTTAGGTTCAGGAGTACGATTACGCGTGAAAAAAGTTATAGCACCCTCACAATATCCATCCAAAGAATGGTACCAACTAGATTTCAGATTATCCAAGCCTTAATCATATTTGTAATTTATCAAATAATTTAATATTAAAAATATATCTTAAAATTATCCCAATAGTTTGGTAGTAATTTAAGATAATTTTCTCACCTTATGAGTATTCATGGAGATTAGTGTCTCACTTTGAAAAGGTTCCATCATCAAATTTATTAAAAGATTTTGTCCTGAAAAATTAGTAAAGTCTCTCAATAATTTGGTAAAATTTAGTTTAGGAAGCAATTCTCCAATAGTTTAGAAAATAAAAATTATTTTTTTTTATTTTTTTGCAAAAAGACGAATTTATAAAATTTTCCAATAGTTTGGTGGATTCTATTTTAAAAATTAGATTCATGAAAATTCTCTATTAGTTTGATAGAATTCATGAATTTATTTTGAAAGATTTTTATGTGAAAAGATTTTTTATTATTTTTCATTGAAAAGATTTTTTTTTTAACTTCTTTTGTACTTGTTGAAAGAAAAGATTTATTTATTTATTTTATTGTTTAATATTAAAAAACTATGAAAACTGGCAAAATTATAAAACTAATAAGATAATAAGAAAAGAAATAAAATAAAATGAAATCTAAAAATAAAATAAAAAAAGAAGAAGAAAGAAACCTTGCGATTTAGGTTAGGTTGAAGCGGGGTAGCGCACAGATCCTGACACAGGTTCTCGTGGATCTTAACTCACCCAAAATGATGTCATGTAGAAACAATATATAAGTCAAATTCGGCACTTTCTTGCTCAAAAGCCTCTTGCACTTTCTCTCTTTAGCTGATTTATCTCTGTCTTCTCTCTAAAACTCAACCAACAATAACACCGAAAACTTCAATCAAAAATTGGGTAACTTATTAGTTTCTGAAAAAGTCACCAAAAAGTTCAACCGAAAACTAAAAAATTTACCTGATTCTTGAAAAATCAATGGAATTCCATTGAAAAATTCAATTTCGTCAGAAAATTTCACCAAAAAATTCAAATATTCTTTCCAAACCCAAAAAAAACCTAAAAAATTCAAAAAAAATTCGAGAAAATCCTCAAACCTTCCCAAAAAAGCTCCAAATCTTTCTCGAAACATTTTGAAACCTTAAACTTAACTCCAAAAGCCTAAATTCACGCCCGAAAATGCAAATAAAACCCCAAATCCCAATACTAAAATTCTAGAAATTCCTACTGTCAAAATTTTTCTAGACCCATTTTCTCTCAAAATTTCTGTATCTTGTTTTATGATTTTTCATCTAATTTATAAGCAATCTTAGGAGGATTTTTAGGAAATAGGCAGAATCAATCCAAGCTTAAATCTTGGAGATTGATTCTATCCGAGTGTGATCCTGGGTCTCTGATTTAATCCTAATTAATTCCAGTACTTACACCAGTTGACTTTGCATTAAAGACCTATGATTCTGGTCAAATTCATATTTCCCTATCCCATGGTAGATTCGAACAAAAAGGAAAGAAAAGAAAAAACGTAAATAATAATAATAGTAATAATAATAATAATAATAATAATAATAATAATAATAATATGATATAATATCTAATAATGATAAAAATACAATAGTATTAATATGATATAATATATTAGACTTTAATATAATATAATAATGCTAATAGTAATAATAATACGCCAAAAAAATTAGTTTTGATTAGGCCCGGATACAAATGGGTGTCTACAGCTACCTCTTTTTACATATAACTGTTAGACAGGGATGATGCAAAAACCTAGACACCCAGGTTGCTCGAGTCAAATCAACAAGTAAAACTAATCGAGAGTAAACTGTGAGTCTAAAAATGACTGGGATGATGCCGCGAGTTTGAGAATGATTTGACATGAGCCAAGATCGAATAACTAGGATGATGCTGCGAGTCTGAGAGTGACCAAGATTGAGTAAGGTTATAAATGAATGACCGGGACGATGCCGCGAGTCCAAGAATGATCTAACCTAAGCTGAGATCGAATGATTGGGATGATGCCATGAGTTCGAGAGTGACCAAGATCGAGTTGAGGTCATAAACGAATGACTAAGATGATGCCACGAGTCCGAGAATGATTAACTTGAGCTGATATCAAATGATTGAGATAATGCCACAAGTTTGAAAGTGACCAAGATCGAGTCCAAGTCGTAAATGAATGATCAAGATGATGCCGTGAGTCTGAGAAAGATCTGACTTGAGCCAAGATCAAATGATTATGACGATGCTGTAAGTTCTAGAGTGACCAAGACTGAGTCAAAGTTATGAATGAATGACTGGGATGATGTCGCGAGTCTGATAACAACCAAGATTGAGTCGAGGTCGTAAATGAATTACCGAGATGATACCATGAGTCTGAGAATGATCTAACCTGAGTCAAGATCGAATGATTGGGATGATGTCATGAGTCTGAGAGTGACCAAGACCTAGTCGAGGTCATAAATAAATGATCGAGATGATGTCGCGAGTTTGAAAGTGATCTAACCTAAGCCGAAATCGAATAATTGGGATGATACGACGAGTCTGAGAGTGACCAAGACTGAGTCAAAGTCGTAAATGAATGATCGGGACAATGCCGTGAGTATAAGCTAAAATCAAAACCTATGATGTAAAATCATGCAATGATATAAATGTATACTCTATCTAGAATGTAAATAGAACATCCATTATGGTACTAAGGTTTCCACAACTTTTATCTGCATATTCTATTTCCATGTCTTTCTGGCAAGGAAACTATCCCTAAATAAGTATTTTTCTTTATCCCAAGGGGAACCTTTTACGATCATTTATTTTCTCTTAATGGGAGGCACTCATCCTTAGTCTTTGTCTCTTTCAATCTTCTCAAAGTAACACATAATTTCTTATGACTTTGTTTAATTATTAATCATTATCTCAATTTCAAAATATGGGATGTAAGTTATGCATTTCTTCTATTTATGGCAAGGCATAAGGAAATATATTAAAAGTGGAAAGTAGGACGAATATTATTTATTTAGACAAATGATGGCATAGAAATAAAAAGAGAGTAATAAGGATGGCTATTTGGGGTAACAATGCACCAAGATAAATGATTAGGTAATCATGACAACAAATCTTGGATTTCTTCAAAAACTCAACCAAAATACGATGCCCCAACACCTCAGAGCTCTTTGAAATTCACTGTCTCTGGCATGCTTTTCAAGTGATGCTACATTCATTCGCTTTGCTAAACTTTTTCCTTTTTGTTTCAAGCTGCCCTTCAGGTTTTCAACTTGAAATTTTCTTCTCTTTTTTTTTTGTTTTTATGTTTATATATATATATTTTTGTTTTGTTTTGTTTTTTTTTTAAACAAAGTACTTCTTCATGGCATCAGAATTAACAATATTAGAAAGTTCATCCCTATCCATTTCTAACAAGATTAG